TAAGTGGTGCGGAGGGGCATCCATGGATTGGACTAGTTTGTCCAGCATTGGTCCAACACCTCAAACTTATTGTTGTGCTCCTCAAACCACTTCTTGGGCAGATTATTCTGTGCCACAGCCTTCAAGGAATACTGTTTCCATGAAAGGATGTACACGGTGTGCAACAGTGGTTAGGTAGGCGGTGCGTGTCAAATTAACATCCACATGGATGGCAGGACACAACGTTTATCACAATGTTTCCCAGAAGACAGTGTGATTGCCCAAAGCATCATCATCATCACCGTGTCTGGTCAACAAACTGTGATGCTCTGACGCCTTTCTGTCAGAATCAGCATCAACTAGTTTGAGGTGCAGTAGATCATCTTTTGGACCACACAGGTCAGACAGCCTTCTGAACCCAATCATCAGTGAGCCTTGGCCACCCATGACCCTGTTGCTAGTTCACCACTGTTCCTTCCTCGGACCATTTTTGATAGATACTGACCACTGCAGACTGGGAACACCCCACAAAAGCTGCAAATTTGGAGATGCACTAACCTGTTCGTCTAGCTATCACAGTTAGTCCCTCGTTAAACTCGTTCAAATCCTCATGCTTGACCATTTTTCTCCTTCATCAACTCACTTGCTCCCTGATATTTCCCACTAACAGGTGCCATGATGAAGAGATAGTCAGTGTTATTTACTTCAGCTGTCAGCGGCCATAATGTTATGCCTGGTCGGTGTACGGAGAAAAGTACATTTGCTCGACTGTCACTGGACGGCTGTCACAAGGGTTTATCATATGGCCAAAAGCACAATGCACTAGATTACATTTTATAACAAGCAGCAGCAAAACCTCATTAATATATTTTCTACATACTGGCATTGCAATATTTTTGTAGGGGATCAACCAAATATGTTTAGTGCAAGTCAGCAAAGAATGCATGAAAAAAAGAGTATAAATTAAAATATAGAGTAGCCTTGAATAATCTCTTAGTGTACCCTGAGGGGGCTGGAGAGAGAGAGCTGCTATCTTCCTCACTTTCTTGATATCCCCACTAGTTGGCAAACTGAGAGATTTTCCAGTCCTACACATTGGAAGCTCAGACGTGTGAGAGAAGGACTGAAGATGCATATGTTATTCAATATAAACAACCCACAGCGAGCAACACAGGCACGATCAGGAGGAGGAGGAGGAGGAGGATGGAAATGAGGAGACGATGAGCTGATGTTATGATACTGAAATCAAGTGTTATTGTTCTTGAATGACTCAAACTGAAGCTGTGACAGCTGTGTTCACACATGAAGGATGATGAGCAGCTTTGTACAAAGATAACAGTTATCATGAGTCGTGTGCAATGGGCACCAGGTTTCGGGAAGAACGCTCGATGGCGCTCAGACAACAGAAAAAAATGGGAGCATAAAGAGTAAGACAAGAAGATTACACAAGCGCACGGGCCGCAAACTTCTTCTTTTCTTACAGCTGGTAGCAGAACAATGTGTGAAGATAATTAGCAACACAGACGGTTTTAGTGTCCTTGTGCTTTTCTCTTGCTGCAAATCTATTTCTATATAATAAAGAAACATAGTTT